AGACACTTTATTTATATTTTGCATTGCACCGCCTCATTAAATTCTTTATGTCTTAACTCTCCGGTTGACTGATAGAGAATGCCTACTGGCATTAAGTCCGCCATTTGTACACTTTATTTGTGCAAAAAAGTTTAAATAAATAAAATAAATATAAATAAGAAAAACTGTAACAAACAAAAATAAATTTATAAAAACAGTTCGTAAGTTACTTAACTAATACATACTTATCAAATAAACGAATACATACCCCTTGTCGGGCTTCTAGTTAACTTTTGGATCTTCCAAAATACAGATTACAATTTAGTAGTTACATATGTTATATAATTTGTATCACCATATCACATTATTTATCACAATAAATGAATTATTTTAAAATTACATAGTAAAATTTATACCATTAATATTGTATTGTATTATAATTTCATCTTGTGCATAGGAGAATTTCTTACGAACTGACATCCATAAAGAGTATAATTGATTAGTCAAAATTTTAAATTACGAAAGACGAGTAATAAAATGAAATGATGTTGAATTTCAAAAGTAAAAAGTTTGCATACTGAAACCTAGGAAAACAAACGGTGGCATGGCACACCGTTACAGGAGTAATAATAACATTCATAAAAACCATGTCGTTACCCGATCAATACATTATAAATAGAGAGAAAAAAAACTATGGTCTTGTAATGATAACATAATAATTTAATCATAATGGCAACAACATAAATTTTGAGATATAATGAGTTTAGAATAAATCAATCAACTAAAATTGTGTATATCACTTTTTATAGAAAACAATCTAATATTTTGACGAACGTACATTAAGTTCTCGTTTATGTATTGAGAAGCAACAGTCATTATGTTTATTTACTTAAATTTCTCCCTTAAAGAGTTCCTTTTCCTAAAATTATGGATTGATCTAATTGCTCTTTTCTAAAGCACAAAAATCTTTTGTTTGTCGGCAGCATTTCCCCACAATAGGATTCCGTACGACATAACACTAAGAAAATAACTGAAGTATACTAATCTGGCAGTATCTATGTCAATTAACCTAATAACGGCATATGCTGCAGAGCTGTCTATTCTACAATTTATCAATATATGGGCTCTACTGTAGTTTAGAATCTAATGATTTTCCTAAAAATACTGTGGTATCCACAAGACCCATGTCCTTACTTTTTATATTCACATTTATATCTACTTTTGGAATTAGTTGGTACAAATTTTAGGCATTTTGTTTTTCCTTCATTAAGGAAAAAATATTTACATGAACCAATGTACTACTTTAGCGACAGAATTTTTCACATCTTCATTTAGAGGTAGCCCTTTTTTAATTTTAAACAAAAGTGTCATCCGCAAACAAAACTATTTCATGATTATCTCTTACGAAATAAGGCAAGTCATTTCAATTAAAAACAAATAAGGACCAAGTATTGAGCCCTGTGGAACACCCATCTTTATTTTCATTCAGGGGATCTTTTGGCTTTGATATCAACCCACTGCACTCTGTCAATCAAGTATGAGACAATAAAATCCAATGAGTTATTTCTAAAACTATAATAATGAAGTTTCCTAATCAATGTTTCATGAAAAAGACAATCAAATGCCTTAGACAGGTCACAAAAAACACCTAACGATTATGTCCTCCCAGACATTAAAAATTTCTTATATTAACTCTAAACCGGCTTCGGTTGTTAAGCGACCCGTTGTAAAACTCTCACTCCCTCACTCATTTCTTACACATTCTTTCACATATCATGTGAAAGAACTTTACCACAGTTTGTCCATATTTTCATCGATCTTCTCCTTATTTCCTGGTCAATATGGCCACTTTTATTTTCCACATTTTTTCACAACTCCTTCTTTGGTAAAAAACTGTATCTATGACTATTTATGAGATTTAATTTTATTTACTTTTTTAATAATATTTTCCAAGAATAGATTTTATAAATATGCAACTTTATTTTATACATTTTCATTAAATTAAAATCTACGAATAATTAAAACTATATCTGCTCTTTAAATGTTGCATACAAGTTCTACGATAATGTTTACTTTTTTAGTAAATGAGATATATTCATTTCAATTGATTTCTGTCGGAATAAATTTTACTTGATTACCTCTATAGAAGTATTTTCTATACTTAACAGTTTAAAAGTTATAAAATAAATATATTTTTCGCTACCCATTTCTAAGCAAACAAAAGCAACAAAGTGTGGTTCATTAGAAATTCAACGAACGAAAGATATTCTTCAAACTGTTCGAAATTCAAACGAATCTCCAAATACTAAGAAAGTTCTCAATGTTATTCCCAAAGGCTCTATCTGTAAACAAGCTCCTAGTAACATTGAATAATATATTCTCTATAAGGAAAGTGCATCTATTGCTATTTCGCGTATACCTCTGGCGCGGGTACGTGGATTTTATGAGAAAGAGAGCTTTTGAAATTGTTGCTAAGTTTAAAAATAGAAACTAGTAAATAGAATGTATAATACATGTCTGAGCAACGATAAAATGGACTCAGAGTGAAAATAAAACCATACAATCCTTACTATTACATATTCAAATATTTTTTTTATTTAAAACGCAATCTATTATTAATGTTAAATAGTCTCCGCTAGTGAGAACATGATTGTGACAGTTTCGAATATTTTTTGTTACAGAAGAATTAATAGCTCCAAGAAATCGATTCAGTCTTATATGTGTACTACACACCATTTTAACTATTGTAAAATGATGAAGCTAAAAAGAAAAAGATTTTTAGTAAAATTTTTGAATTTATTGATATTTAAAAAAATATTAGTCGATTAAGAATTTGTTTAATGATAAGCTAGTTGTTTTCCTGCTACTTTATAGCTTATGTCACCTGCGTATGATGAAGACTACAGTAGGTAAAAGTTTTTTATATATGTCCAGGCTCTATAATGCAAACTGCCTTTCAAATATTTTCTCTTTATAATATTTTAGATAACAACGCTATCCAATAATCAGCTGTTTATACTGGTAACTGTTTTGAATGTTTAGGTTATTGAAAATGGCCGTGACTACAAGAGGACGCCGACTGTGCGCAACTTATTTATCAATAAGCGACCGATGGCAGTTTCCAATTCCATTCCAGCTGAGTCCAGCGAGGTTTAGTTAAACGAGTTTGCGTTGTTGTTTGAAAGTTAAGTCAATGAGACGGCTATCGAGTTAAGATTAATGTCGTTGTGTGGTAAAATAATGTTGCTCTATCTCGAAGTTGACGCCATGATAGTAATATAGTGGCATTGGTGATGACATTTTGAAAATCTAATCCATTTTTGTTTCTTTTGGTTAGCACAGCAGTTAGTGCGTTCGACCTGCGATGTGCAGGTTAAACCACTTTTACAAATTTGGTCACAAGATAGGTGACCAAAATTTTATCATCTCGATGTCTGTGCTTCAGAGGGCACGTTAAACTGTGGTCTCGGCTGCATCTGTAGTCGTTAACACCATTTCCACCAACGGGTGGTGGGTAAAGGCCCATTCTCCCTATTCAGTTTCATCCATAGGCAAAGCCTGTGCCCCAGCATTGTGGACATTGATAAATTGGTGATGATGATGATTAATATTAATTCAAGTGAATGTTAAGTTTAAAATGTAACAAGCTTAATGTTCCCATTATTCTGGAACAAATCCGCCGTAACGTTAATTGTGTTCCGGAAGTTTATGTTAAGTGTTCCTTACTTTAACATTGTTGAGAAGGTATACCTCAACTTTATATGCATTAATTGGCATAATAATGATTCATGATGTGTTCAGAACAAGACATAAGAGAGCTTTATTCCCCACGAAGTTTAGGAATTTAAATATACGGATGCGGGTTTAATATGAAATTATACGAGAACTTAAATCAGAAATAGCTCTCTAAAATTTCTTAGTTTTTTAAGGGAGAATATATTATGCTTTACAAGTTATAATATAACAAAAAATAAAAATTGAACACTAAAGGTCGGCACAAATCTAACCTGAGATGCATCAAATGTCTCAGAATCATTCGTCTGGTGTTAATGTTAATCAAAACAATGACCGACCAATGTAAGCGAGGAACAGCTATCGCCCACACTTCGTAACTGAGCCATCAGCTATGTCCCAATCCTAGGTCTAATGTTATCACTTTCCAGGTTCCAGAAAGTCACAAAAGCCACAAAAAATATAACAGAAACACCTTCAAAAAGACAATTTCTCTTTATCTTTGTAAAGTCTCTTGTCTATAAAATTTCTTAGCACCCAGATATAAAATCGTAGGATAATGTTATTGAACAAATGCATGGAAGCACCTAAACGCTTTACGTGAACCCTTTTTAATGAAGGGATTTAAGATATTTATTGGGATAAGCCCGACTGTTCTCGATCCGAACACTATTTTAAGGGCTACGTGGACGAATTATAAATTAAAGATCCTAACCGTTTGTTAATGTAGTTGACTAAAATGGGATGTATTTTTACATATCCCAGACGACTTTTTCAATAATCAAAAAGTTCTGAATTCAGGACTATTCCAAAGATTTTAAAGGAGGATTATAAACATACTGTTTAATCCTTTGCTCATACGCAATATAGAAACAAATATATGTATTTTTTATCATTTGAATAGTTACCAAAGAGATGTGGGAATGGTAAAAAAGTTTGATATTGTACCTAATGCCATACGTTACATTACACAAATGCTGAAAGATAATTTAGTTCCGTAGATAAAATTAATTTTCTCTTTGGAAATCTAATTTTCTTATTACTTTTAATTACTCCATAAAGACTTACATATTAGCTGAAAAGGGTATATAATCGGGTACAGCTAAAAAATGATCAATTTTGTTACGGTAGTTTCGCAGATATTCCGACCACTGATTAGTTAACGACATTAATAAGTTGACAAACAGATCAGTGTCAAAATAATAAAGTTATTATTGTCCTGTCCAAAACATATCCAGAACTAATTTCATTTGACAATATCTAACATAACTAAAAATCATAGTACTTACAACGTCGATGAGTTGGCTAAGTCTTAGGCCCATTTTGACGGTGAGTCGATCAGAGTTATTGCCAACTGGTCGGATCAGTCTGTTGTAGTTGGACAGTAGATCGTCGTACAGCCGCTTGGCCTCAGGGTTCGCGACGCTCAGGCGGCCCCACAAGCACAGCACTCCGACCACCAACGCCAACACCATCTTAGGCTAACACCACCCCTGTGGACAAGTTCGAATAAATATTAAGTATTTAATCAGACACACATTTTTCTTTAGAACAAGGATCCTAAGTTGTTCCATATTTTCTATCAAGCTCTGGCTTTGCGGTGTAATTTAGGTAAGGCAAATGTCCCGGTTTTAGATACTCGCCTTTATTGGCCATTTGGGGCTTTAAGGCGTTACATTATCATATCAACTTACATTTATAGACTTTACCATAATTGGCTTTTTAAATGTTGAATTGTGGCAAACCTTATACCGTTTCCAGCCTTTTCACTTTTTCCTAACTAAAATTGGATTATCGACCCTACAAGAAGAATGCTCATTAAAATGATTTTATTAATATCTTACGTAATCATTATCACCAATGTTAGCCTAAAGTCCCCATTGTAGAGGCGCACAGTTGATGGAAGGATCCAAATTGAGAGAACAAGCCGGAATCCATACAACGAGTCCGATACTACCGACATGGTTTGTATTAACAACTGCAAACACAGTCGGCACTAACGGCTTAACGTGCCTTCCGAAGCACGGAGAAGCTCGAGATAATAAATTTTTGGTCATCCAGCCTGACCAGCCCTTGTGAAAATTACATCTGCATTGCAGAACGAATGCGCTCACCATTGCGTTATCGAGCCTCTTTTAATTGATGAATCTGTCAAAATTTTAATCGTAATACATATAACATAATATACAATGCTTTCTCGATGAATAATAAGTCCGTCGATTAGTGAAAACCCAATGAAACGCCAGTTAGTAGTTTTCAAATACGTCCCTTTTAAATAGGCAGGTAGGAAGGGAGAATTTGTTTTATAGACTGCTACTGGTTAATTTATTATTTACTATACAAATTAGATAGTGGGATTAACGAGGGTCCCACAAAAGTATTTTTAGTTTTACTTTGGGTAAGTTATATTTGTTCAAACAACAGCACATCTGATTACGGCAAAATGTAAAATTTCTTTAATCGATGCTGAACGTAATTGGTAATAGTATTAGGTTTAAAATACTCTTAAAATCGAAATTCGATGTCATTCGATTCTTTTCTTTTCTTATAGTTTAAGTATTAAAAATTATTAAAATTTGCACAACTGTTGAAGATTAGTTTGTTATTCCATAATTTACACTGGAGTATATTGTTGTTAAAATTCAACATTTTAAAGAAAACAAATGTATAATACAATAATAAATGTCCTAGGGTAGAGACTCCATATGCCGATGTTTCAGGTCCACAACTTATTTGGTGATGGATGTTACATATAAGCAAGGTGTATTTGATTAATTTATCACATGAATATTTTTGATAAGCTTTGTATGTAACTTCTTTACTTTATGGTCAAATAAAGATTATTATTATAGCGAGGACCATTTCGTCGTCTGCTGAAATAGTCCTCGCTATAATATGCGCTCGCTATAATGTTGACAATATAAAAAAGTGGTTTTCGTCAACATCTGATGTGTGGATTTTTTGGAAATTAAAACTTTATCAAAATATTGATTTCTTATATTTTCACCATATATGAGTTATCCAAGTTGGGTAACTATATATGAAACAACCTTTAAACGGTTTCATCGTGTTTGTATTTAGTTTTATTAACGTTTCGGACCCTTTACAGGTTCAGTGTTCACATAAGACTAAGGTGTTGGTTGTCTTTTTAATTAAGATTATAGCCACCTAAAAAAATCAATACTATTGGACACATTCACAATACATTTTTTATATTTTATGGCAACGTTTATTTACACTTATCAAATTTAATTAAATTATTTTTTTTAAATATATTTTACTTATTTATTTACTCCTGCTTTTGGAGACTTATCTGGGAAGAACGGGCAAAACGAACTTCGACAAGAAAAGTGAATTATCCCTTTTGTTTTAATATATACAGAATGAACCAACTGTATCTTTTGGTTTCGCAATGTGTGATCTGGATTGAGATTTTATTTGACTAATTACTGGATCCCAAGCTGGTGGTATAAACCAACGTTTATCTGTATTAAACGTCAGTAAAACTTAATACAAGCGCCACGAAACCGGTGTTTTTTTTAACTTAAATATAACAACAACTTATAAATTCTAAGCAAGAATAATTAAAAGTTTATATCACGAATGAAACTAAAGATATTTATTAGTTTAAAATACTAGTTACTATCATTGTAATAGTTACTAATAAAACATTATATCTTCTTCTATCTACTTCTATATACCACTTCAGTACTTTTATTTATGATCTATAAGAGAAAAGTGTTTTTGATTTACTAATTCCTACCGGAGAAGAAACTTATGGTTAATACATTATTTATTTTAGAACATTCAAGTAAGAAATTAGACCTACGTAATTATACCTTGTAAACAACAAAGTTCAAAAGGGAGTTTAGCTTCTGAACAAAACCAGGAGCGATTAATGTAATTAAGAGTAATTTTCCATAAACAAATGATCATATTCGTCTTGACTGTTTTAAATAGAGAATAAAGATAAGTCATAACTTTGTGAGGTTTGAATTGTCCTGACTATTCAATACCTAACCGCATTGACCAACACGAACTCGAGAGACTCGAGATACGTTCGTGAACCTCTAGAAACGGGTCTTGACCCGTTTATTACTGAATTAAATTGAATTGAATTGAATCAAACGACATGCCATGGTAAGACATGGTAAGACATGGTTTACATAACCATATAATTTTGGCTGTAAACTAAAATAAAAATATCCAACTTTGATTTGAGTTTGTAGTTATATAGTTCAACTCTTGTATGCTATAATATAACTCGTTTAATTCTGTTATTAGTTTATTTTCAGAATTGATACAGTTTGGTTGGTGGAATAAAAAAAAAAAAACTCAGTAGCCTTTTCGTGCTCTATCTGCATACTAGTTAGATTAAATTTGTTACGGATATTATGGTATTGATAATAGTATAAAATTTAACCCTTGTAATCATATATCGTGATGAAAAGCGAAAAGAGCGGTAGAAGTTTAAATGATAATCATTCTCTTGTTTAGTTAGAAGACACTACTTTTTCAGATTGAAACCTTAACGTATTAGTTTCTTTTGTAAAAATGAAAAAATATATATGTTATATATTTGAAGTAAAGATTTATATAATAGTTCAAATGTGTTATACATTTGAACTATTTTATAAATTATATTGTCTATGTATTTTTCTATAAATAACCTTATATCATAATTATCAATGAAAACAATGAAGACAGTGTTAAGTAATATACAGATATCTTGAATATTATATTAATTGGCACTGTAACATTATATTTATGTTATTTTTTTCTAAAAGCGAGAAAACATATCCAGTCATATTATTTTTCTTCATTATCATTCTATAACATATGATTATATATCACATATCAACATTCTACTATTTGTACAAGCCCAGAATAGTTGATAACCTATCCTACGATTAGCAAATGCGATATTTGTTTATCACCATTACGTAGACCGAACGCACTAACCACTGCGCTATCGAGCTCATTTTACTTGATTACTTAATATACGTAAAAATAATAAGAAACAATGATATTATTTTTTAAATATATTTTTTTAATAAGGCTTTATTGATATTATGTCGGTAATAGGGATACTGACATTGTCTTACTATTTTTTATTGAAGAATATTAAACACTTATTTTTCTGCTTATCAATAATTAACAGCGCTATATTGAGTTAAAATGTCGCACGACGTCACACCTTCGTACATTTTCAACATAGTACGACCAAGTGAGTCCTTTCTCCTCAACTTTAATGCCTATTATCTAAAGCCATTTCTTTCTCAATTAAAGCAAAAAATACGTATATAATACTTTTCTATCATTAAGCTGACGAACTAAATAAAATTTCATTTTTTACCCAGTCATCATACCTATTTAGTAATCGCTCACACTACATTTATAATCCCATATGTATTATTCTTATTACCAAATTATGTCCCCTTCCTTTTAGTATTAAAATTTAGTCTAATTATCATCAGCCTAATGTGCTCACAGCTGGGGCTTAGGCCTTCCCTATGGCTGGAATCGACTTAAATCGAATAGGGAAAATTACTCACCACGCGGGCCCAGTGCGGATTAGTGGGTGTTGGCGACTGCAGATGCAGTCAGAACCAACGACTTAACGTGTCTTCTAAAGCGCGGGGAGCTCGACATAATAATTTTTTGGTCACCCATCCTATGACAGGCCTATGTATTTATCGCAGACGGAGCGCGCTAACCACTACGCCATCGAGATTTTTGATATAATTAAAATAAATAAAATTAAAGAAAAATTCACAACGCTTACCTTCCGGCATTCTTAGTATTACACTGACGAAATTTTACTATGTAGATGTCTTTTATAAATAAGGAAACTTGTCGCTAAAGGTTCAGCGAAGTACATATTCTGTCCGTGTTCCCAAAATTAGGTTAGAGGCAGACTTCAGGCAGAATTTTGCAGACGTCTCGGCCCCTAGACGTTTATTATGCTAAAGTTATACGACCTCTGCAAAAGGTTGGTAACAACAGGCTCCGATGATCGAAAATCGAGTCGGAATATCATTTGTCGATGGTATAGATAAGTCGCTTAAATCTAATCTAGGTATATAAATAAAAATAAACTCGTACTGTGTTACTAAGCACTATATTTGAGAATGAGAGGAACTAGTCGATATTTATTTTAATGATTTCCTGAAATTCAGTGAATGTTTTTAGTGTAGGAAAAATGAATAAGTTAAATTAAAAGTAATAAAAACATTTTTATTTCCAAGTAAACTGTATAAAATGAAGTTTTGCAAGGCATTCTGTTATTATCTTAGTTGAGGTTACTATATAAAAGTGGCGATATTCAGTTATCTGGCAAAGATCATAATGGTTAAAATTGGAGAAACAAAGAAATCTATTTCAGTTACCTTTAATATAATATTTTTCATTAAAAATATTTTAATACAACTAATTTCAATAATGTAATTAAGTAGGTGGAACTTTATGAAACCAC